CCCAGACGGTACTGTACATTCTATTGTTGAACTTTACCAGACGGTACTGTACATTCTATTGTAAAACTTTCCCAGACGGTACTGTACATTCTATTGTTAAACTTTACCAGACGGTACTGTACATTCTATTGTTAAACTTTACCAGACGGTACTGTACATTCTATTGTTAAACTTTACCAGACGGTATTGTACATTCTATTGTTAAACTTTACCAGATGGTACTGTACATTCTATTGTTGAACTTTACCGGATGGTACTGTACATTCTATTGTTAAACTTTACCAGATGGTACTGTACATTCTATTGTAGAACCTTACCGGACGGTACTGTACATTCTATTGTTGAACCATATCACACAGTACTCTGCTGAAATTTATAATATTATTCTATAAGAATGGGTTAATGTACAAAGGAACCAATTAATATTAGTCGGGTTGCCATATCATAAACATGTCCTGTTGAAGTTTCTAACGGGTGGCACGGAGGAGCATGTATATACATCTTTTACTCTAAAGTTTGAGTTCCTCTTTAAAAGAAGACGCATGTTTGGTCCATTAAGATGTCTTCTCGAAGGTCCGACTAAAACTAATCACAATATTTCGGTTCAAAAACAATACAAATAGACGATATTGGTTCCAGTGGTTTCTGATATATGAGTCTTAATACGATCGATACTCACTGTAAACCATTCCCTCTTTAATGTTAAATACGACATAGACGCCCTCTAGTGTCAGGAGACTGGCCCAATTGTTACTAGTGGAAAAGAAAAATCATATCCTTCACATATAACTGCAAGAAGCATCTCAATATACACGTGTCTCAAGTTATACATCAAAGTCAAACATACAGTAAATATTGTATCGTATTTCCTGCTATTCGAATGTCATATAAAAAACTCAGGTGTTATCCACAACAACTTACGTTGAATGATATTAATGATCCGACATTCATCTACCATAATATTTACATTACATGAACTTAATGATCAGACATCCACCGACCGTAATATTTATATTACATGAACTTAATGATCCGTCATCTATCTATCATAATATTTACATTACATGAACTTAATGATCCGACATCCATCTACCATAACATTTATATTACATGAACTTAATGATCCGACATCCATCAACCATAATATTTACATTACATGAACTTAATGATCCGACATCTATCAACCATAATATTTACATTACATGAACTTAATGATCCTACATCCTTCTACCATAATATTTACATTACATGAACATAATGATCCGACATCCTTCAACCTTAATATTTACATGAACTTAATGATCCGACATCCATCAACCATAATATTTACATTACATGAACTTAATGATCCGACATCCTTCAACCTTAATATTTACATTACATGAACTTAATGATCCGACATCCATCAACCATAATATTTACATTACATGAACTTAATGATCCGACATCCATTATCTTCTCCAGCTCCTAGTGCTCCAGCCGATATAAAAGCTCTTCCCATGTTATCCAATGCGATCCTGGTGTCATGGAAACTGCCATTTCAGCCCAATGGAGTTATCGAACAGTATACATTGTATAAAAGGTGGTCATCTCGTGGACGTCAGGTAAGGGATTCCGTAATTTTGTATTGCCGAAAACAAATCTCAGAATGCTATTTTATTTATGAGTTGTGTCTCGTAGTAACACCTGTTTTTGTTGTGCTAAATGAAGATCAAGGAGAACATAATATCAAAGGAAAATTTTTAATTATTAATCTATTAATAAATATACATTCACTGATTCATACAAAAATAACCAGAAAAGATGTCAGTAGAGAACGTGCACTTGGTGCTTAATAACATGGGTTGTCTTGACAAAATGTCAGTAGAGAACGTACACTTGGTGCTTAACAACATGGTTTGTATTCATTAAGATGTCAGTAGAGAACGTACACTTGGTGCTTAACAACACGGGTTGTATTCATTAAGATGTCAGTAGAGAACGTACACTTGGTGCTTAACAACACGGGTTGTATTCATTAAGATGTCAGGAGAGAACGTACACTTGGTGCTTAACAACACGGGTTGTATTCATTAAGATGTCAGTAGAGAACGTACACTTAGTGCTTAACAACATGGGTTGTCTTGATAAAGATGTCAGTAGAGATCGTACACTTGGTGCTTAACAACACGGGTTGAATTCATTAAGATGTCAGTAGAGAACGTACACTTGGTGCTTAACAACACGGGTTGTATTCATTAAGATGTCAGTAGCGATCGTACACTTGGTGCTTAACAACATGGGTTGTCTTGATAAAGATGTCAGTAGAGAACGTACACTTGGTGTTTAACAACATGGGTTGTCTTGATAAAGATGTCAGTAGAGATCGTACACTTGGTGCTTAACAACACGGGTTGTATTCATTAAGATGTCAGTAGAGAACGTACACTTGGTGCTTAACAACACGGGTTGTATTCATTAAGATGTCAGTAGAGATCGTACACTTGGTGTTTAACAACATGGGTTGTCTTGATAAAGATGTCAGTAGAGAACGTACACTTGATGATAAACAGCATAGGTTGTCTTGATAAAGATGTCAGTAGAGAACGTACACTTGGTGATAAACAACATGGGTTGTCTTCATAAAGATGTCAGTAGAGAACGTACACTTGGTGCTAAACAACATGGGTTGTCTTGATAAAGATGTCAGTAGAGAACGTACACTTGATTAGTTTACTTCACCTGGAGTTAAGATTTTATAACGTAGCCTATGACCTAGATAGTCTATGGATAACTTGAATATTTTAATTTAACACAATTAATAAGTAGAGGACAGACAACCGATTATCAGTAAAGTACCACCCACCATCCAGTGTTATAACACACCCACAGCTTAAAAAGTGGAAAATATTTTGTGGTATCACACGGATTCGAACCCAGTTCGCCAGTTTCGAAATCCAGAGTTTTACCACATATCGAAAACAAAAAATGTTTTAGTTGCAAAATTCATTTTTTATTATGATTCTGCTGCTTTCGGGTTAATGCTGTAGCGGTAGACTAAAATATATCAAAATGGCGTTTTCGGGTTAATGCTGTAGCAGTAGACTAAAATATATCAAAATGGCGTTTTCGGGTTAATGCTGTAGCGGTAGACTAAAATATATCAAAATGGCGTTTTCGGGTTAATGCTGTAGCAGTAGACTAAAATATATCAAAATGGCGTTTTCGGGTTAATGCTGTAGCGGTAGACTAAAATATATCAAAATGGCGTTTTACAACAACCGTGACTGCTCTGCAAATAGTGTTGGATTTGTTTTTGATCCAGTAATTACAACGTAGTGTTACGATTTTAGTCCACCGCCATAAAATAGTGATGTGATTCTGATGGTCTTGTAGTTCAGATCTGGGATGTATTCCTGATCAATTATTGCAGTGTAGTCTTGTAGTTCAGATCTGGGGTGTATTCCTGATCAGTTATTGCAGTGTAGTCTTGTAGTTCAGATCTGGGATGTATTCCTGATCAAGTATTGCAGTGTAGTCTTGTAGTTCAGATCTGGGGTGTATTCCTGATCAATTATTGTAGTTTAGTCTTGTAGTTGAGGTCTGGGATGTATTCCTGAACAATTATTGCAGTGTAGTCTTGTAGATCAGATCTGGGGTGTATTCCTGATCAATTATTGTAGTGTAGTCTTGTAGTTGAGGTCTGGGATGTATTCCTGATCAATTATTGCAGTGTAGTCTTGTAGATCAGATCTGGGGTGTATTCCTGATCAATTATTGTAGTGTAGTCTTGTAGTTGAGGTCTGGGATGTATTCCTGATCAATTATTGCAGTGTAGTCTTGTAGATCAGATCTGGGGTGTATTCCTGATCAATTATTGTAGTGTAGTCTTGTAGTTGAGGTCTGGGATGTATTCCTGATCAATTATTGCAGTGTAGTCTTGTAGATCAGATCTGGGGTGTATTCCTGATCAATTATTGTAGTGTAGTCTTGTAGTTGAGGTCTGGGATGTATTCCTGATCAATTATTGCAGTGTAGTCTTGTAGATCAGATCTGGGG